AGGAAGGGAGTTCCAGGGTTTCGACCCAGCCACAGTGAAGTGATATCTCCGAATCACAATGCTGGAGGGGAATTTGTAGGTGGTGGGAATGTAATGTGCCTGCTGCCTTTGTCCTTTTCGATGCTAAAGATTATGTGCTTGGGGAATGCTAATAAAAGATCCTTGGCAAGTTGCGTGTGCCCTGTCTTCTCTCCAACAAGGTGCAGTTGCCGTGGGGTGAGTTACAGAGCAGTGGGCTGGGAACCTCGATTATCAGATGGGCTCGTCATGACTTTGTAAGAACGGGGTTGGAAGAATGGCACAATTCTTTGGCCTCCTGTAGTTCCCAAACTAATTACCTCAGTTGTCAGGAGCTCTATCAGAAAAGCTCACATCAGAAAATATTAGTTTTCCAGATAATGTACGGTATGCACCTCTATGCTTAACATTAGAATGGAGTAGAACTTTGTGTTGTGATTTATTAACTGTAACAGGGCTCCATGGTACTCAGTCACTTATATCTACTCCATCTCACACACTCAAAAGTAGAACTCCTTACAACTCCTGATCTTTTCTTCCTCTTATGAGCTACAGGTTGGTTAGCTCCAAGCTTGGCATCACATCACTAGTGCTTTCCAGTTCTCCTCAGCTTCTCTTTAACCCTGTATTCACCTGTAATCATCATGCATTGTAGTAATGGAGCTTGACCTTCCATCTTTCTTCAGATTATTAAAAATAAAAGTACAAACCTAACTGATACTTGCTCAGATCACTGCAGCAAATGGACAAGGTGTCTCCACTGAACTAGGATGAAGAGTTTCCATCGTTAAATCCTTCCACCAGAAGCCTTGGTGATTGTATGGCTTAATGTCCACATGTGCGGGTCCAGTGCTACGGGGATAACCAAGGGTGCTGCAGATTGTAACAGGAATGAAAGAAACTCCATAACAAGGCTTTACGCTCAACAATGTGAGGATAGAGACAGGAGCTTGAGGATTTTGAAGCTTCCAGAGTCAGGTGGGCAATGGCAAGGGTTAATATAGACTGAGATAGACGCAATGGGGTTGTTATGGAAACTGAGGTTAGAAGGTGAAGAAAAACTGGCCGATCAGAAAATATGAGGAATTCAATGGTGCTTGAGATGAAACAGTCAGAGTATCTGCAGCCAGGACACACTTATTATTAAACTGAAGAAGACTATTCAGCCCATCAAGTTTCTATAGAGCAATCCAATCAGTCCCAATTCCTGGTGCAATCTCTGCATTGTTTAAAGATTGTTTTCCTCAAGGTCCCATCAGCTTCCTTTTCAACCTGTTTATCGTCTCACACTATCATGATCCACTTGCCTGGATGGGTGCAGCTCCAACAACACTCAAGAAGTTCGACACCATCCAGAACAAAGCAGCCCGCTTGACTGGCACCACATCCACAAGCATCCACTCCCTCCACCACCGACGCTGGGAACACCACCTCCTTCAATTACCCCTCCAAGCCACTCACCATCCTGACTTGGAAATATATCACCGTTCTTTCACTTTCACTGGTCAAAATCCTGGAGTTCCCTTTCTAGGGGCATTGTGGGTCAGCCCTTAGCAGGTGGACTGCAGCGGTTCAAGAAGGCAGCTCACCACCACCTTCTCAAGGACAAGTAGGAATGGGTAATAAATACTGGCCTAGCCAGCGAGGCCCACAACCCACAAAATCAGTAAATTAAAAGAAAACACAGAAACTATGGGCCATTCAGCCTTTGAGCTTGTTCTGCCATTCAATATGATCATGGCTGATCCTCTTCCTCAATACCATATTTCCACACTCTCTCCGTGCCCTTTGAATATCTAGATTTAAATTTAGAAGATCTGGCTGAGGTATTTAAAGGTTGAAGTTGGGATCAGATGGAGTAAATAATGAGAAACAGTTTCCAACATCTGAAGACTAGAGGCACAGATTTAATGTGGTTAAGGCATGTTGAGGGAAAACCTTTTAGCTATTGAGTGCATTGACGTTGGAATGTACTGTCTAATGGTGCTGCAGGCAGTTTCAATGGTAGCTTTCAAAACAAAATGGGTAAATACTCATAGGAGAAATCGTTGCAAGGATTCAGAGAAAGAGCAGGGCAGTGGGATTATCTGGCTTGCTCTTTAAAAGATCTGGCACAGAATCAATGGGCCTAATAGATTCCTTCTGTGTCGTATTGTTCTATGACTCCAATTTGCTCAGATGTCCTACTCAGCTCCCATGATAAGTCTGCAGTTGCTTTACAAGGAGCAGAATGTTGGCCTGACCAGCTCCCAGGCCAACAGGGTTGGGGAAGGGGGCAGAAACTTCCCAAAAGCTGGGAGAGGTGGCTCCTAAACTGGGGGATTGTCAAAAATGCCGAAACTGAGATTTTTCAAGTTTTTTGATGGATTGAGAGGTGACCTTATAGAGGTTTATAAAATCACGAGGGGTATAGATAAGGTGAACGGTAGGTGTATTTTTCCTAGAATGGGGGAATTTCAAGACTGGGGGGCATATTTGTAAGGTGGGAGGAGAGAGATTTAAAAAAAAGACATGAGCGGCAAATTATTTACACAGTGTGTGGTTCATGTGGGAATGAACTTTCAGAGGAAGTGGTGGATGTGGGCACAGTTAAAAGAATACTTAGATAAGTACATGAATAGGAAAGGTTTGGGAGGAAACGGGCCAGGAGCAGGCAGGTGGGGCTAGTTTGTAGTTTGGGACTATGTTCAGCATGGACTGGTTGGACCGAAGGGTCTGTTTCCACGCTGTATGACTCTATAAGAGTGCTAAAAGTAGCCAAACGAAGGCAGATAAATGGAGTTACAGATATGGAACAACGTGATCTAATGGATTGGCAGAAGATCGAATGGCCAAGCTCTGTCCCTATACTGGTGCACAGGGTCTGGATCTCAGTGGTATTCCCTTTGCACTGCTCACAAGAATGGAACAGTGTTACTGTTTGCAGGAGGCCAGGACAGATGCTCAGAGTAATACTGGGCAATATCCCCACAGAAACTGCTCCCCTTCCCTGGTCAATGTTCAGGAGGGGTAATGATAATCCAGATGTCCCCCTCCACACAGGCCATGGACACTGGGGTATCTGTGCATGAGAGATTGGAGGTGATTTTTAGCTCATCTTGTTGACAGGAGAAGCAAGGTTTTGATTCATCTTTTATACTTTTTACAAATATTTATTTGATATGTTTAGGACATTTTTCTTATATTAAAGGCACTACGGGAATGCAATTTATTGTTTTGCCTTTGTTCAAATACAGAATAAAATCGAGGAGGGTGTGTCTAAACAGTGCTGCACCCCAATCCCATCAGTTTGCTCAGGGATGCATTAAGTTAATTCTAGTCCTATTGGGTCTGTTCCTCGTCCCCATCCCCACTCCAAACAAGGAATTCCTTCTAAGCTGCGCTAAGGCTGGCATCCCTTCAGTAGACAGGAAGAAATGAACCTGCATTCACATAGCACCATATACACACTCTGGATGCCCCAAAGCACTGACTGTGGAAGTGCAACAGTTCATCTTTTGTAGGCAACCAATTTGCACACGGTAAGGTCCCATCTAATAACAAAGAGATGGATGGCCGAAGAAGCTGTGTCAGCAATGTCAGTTGCGTGTCTCATATCGTTCAGGATTCCCCTGCATGCTATTGTATCTTCTGTATTCTCATGAACAGGAACTTCATTTACTGATGGTAAATTTCTGAAGAAAAGTCCCGACCTGAAACGTCAGCTTCCTGCTCCCCTGATGCTGCCTGATCTGCTGTGCTCCTCCAGCTCTACGCTGTGTTATCTATTTTCTGATGGTGGTTGTGTGCACTCGCTCACTTGGGGAAACTACGTTGTGTGACAACACGCACCTTTCAGAGTCCAGTTGTGGCCTGGAGCTATGGATTGTTGCTGGCCAGGAATCTTGCCCACTCTTACCACCCGCCATTGGTGTACGTTCGAAAGACTGTGTGGCCACATTATCAATGCCCCTTCCTTGGCCATCAAGCCCTGGAGTGGCACGCAAAGCTCGGATGTGGGAACGTTACCCACTGCAACACAAAATCTCCTTGGTTTAATACTACATTTGAAATATGACACCTCCAGCAGTGCAGTGCTCCCTTGGATCTACATCAAAATATTTGCCAAAACAATGTACCCACCTCTGAAAGAAAGCAAGCAAGAACTCACATTGTTACAGTACCTTTCACTATCGCAAGAACTTTGCAGGCAACGCAGTGCTTTTAAAGTACTGTAATTGCTGTATGTGACAATTTGCATTGAGCACACCTGAACATCAATGCAAAAGTGACCAGAAAATTTGTTTCACTGATGTTGGTTGAGAGATAAATTTTGACTGTAAACTCCCTGTTCTTTGAAATATTGCCACAGGTACCCTAAGGGGTTTAGTTTTACTGAAAGACAGCACCTCAGACAGTACAGCACACCCTCTGTACTGCACTGAAGTGTCAGTTTAGACCCCACACAGGTGATGCCTGATTTATGAATATCTGACTTATGAAGGCTTATATCTATGAATGCAGACCCATACAGGGGTGTAATGTTAAAGGTCCATCACACAAACATCTCTTGTACTAATGAACAGCTACTTTACGTTGTTCTGCATTGCATGCAGTCTTGCGTACAAATCAACTTGCAAACGGAGTCAAAGAAAGAAAGCCGTTTGCAACCCACAGATTGCCTGTAAACCTCAGGTTTCTGGAGTGGACTGTGAACCCATGATGCCCTGCCACATCTCAGTTCTAAAGAGTCATCCTTTCGCTAGAAGGCTGTGCTCACGGGTCCTAGTCTCTCTGACTACTGGAAATATGTTCTCCATGTCCGCTCTATCCAGCAAACAAACAAATCATCGAAATAATTACCAGATTAACTGCTCGCAAAAGGAATTAATCTTTGCAGAGACCTTTGTTTCTAACCGAATATCTGACATGGGATAACAAGCTACAGGTGGGCTGTGGATGAAGGAAAGCACACAGTGTGCAGTTAGCCATGACGACCTTACCCGAACAATGAGCTCCTTCTCCTGGTAATACTTCACGATCAGGTTGATGTTCTGTTTGAAGGTTTCCACCCTGCGCTCAATGGCGTGACTGTTGTCGTCTGGCCTACCCTGCTGCACGGCTCGCTTCTCCAGGCGCTGTCGTAAGCGGTGGTTGGAACAGGCCAGCAGCAGCACCAGGTCGGGGGAACCGATCTGCATCCAGCGCGCACACACACACAAAAAGACAGAGCAAAGGATTCATCTTGAGAAGGAAAGGCCACATTCAGAGATCTCCAGCTAACTGACTGTGAAAATAAAGACAACAGTAGCAACTGGTGTAACAACAATACTAAATAAAAACCAAAAGAACTGCGGATGCTGTAAATCAGGAACAAAAACAAAGTTGCTGGAAAAGCTCAGCAGGTCTGGCAGCATCTGTGGAGGAGAAAACAGAGTTAATGTTTCGGGTCCAGTGACCCTTCCTCAGAACAGCTTTTACAGCCAATGGAATACAACACTTGATTGTGAACACTCTCTCATGTGATTCACATTAGTTTGGTCAATAGCACCTTAGCTCAGGAATCAGGTTTAAGTCTAGCTGAACACCTCAGTGCTGTCTGTACATAGGTTCTAGTCAATTAGACTTGGTCTCTGCATCTACATGAGACTATAATTGTACTGGACAGTGAAGGTTCACTAAATTAGTTGCTGCAGTGAGAGCGTTGTTCGATGACAATGGGTTTATTCAATTGAGCTTCTGCTCTGGAGTTCAGAAGAAGGATCCCATTCAAGTAGTTAGTGTTCATTTTGAAAGGTCTAGAATACAAGAACAGAGGTGTACTGCTCAGGTTGTATAAGGCTCTGGTCAGACTGTGTTTGGAATAATGTGAGCGGTTTTGGGCCCTGGGTCGAAGAAAGGATGTGCTGGCGTAGGAAGAGGCCTAGAGGAGGTTTACAAGAATGATTCTGGGGATGAAGGCCTTATCACATGTGGTGTGGTTGAGGACTCTGGGTCTGTACTCAGTGGAGTTTAGAAGGATGAGCGGGGGATCTGATTGAAACTTACAGAATACTGAGAGACCTGGATAGAGTGGAAGTGAAGAAAATGTTTCCAGTAGTCAGAGAGACTAGGACCCAATGGCACAGCCTCCTAGTGAAGGGATGACTTGTTAGAACTGAGATGTGGCAAAATTTTTTCAGCCAGAGGGTGGTAGATGGCTGTGGAGACCAAGTCCTAGAATCCCTACAGTGTGGAAACAGGCCATTTGGCCCAACAAGTCCACAATGCCCCTCTGAAGAGCATCCCACCCAGACCCATTCCCCTAATTTTGCATGTCTAACCCACCTAACCTAAGCACTCCTGGGCACTATGGACAATTTAGCATAGCCAATTCACCTAACTGGCACATCTTTGGATTGTGGGAGGAAACTGAAGCACACCCATGCAGACATGGGGAGAATGTGCAAACTCCACACAGACAGTTGCCTGAGGGTGGAATTGAACCTGGGTCCCTGGTGCTGTGAGGCAGCAGTGCTAACCACTGAGCCACCATGCCACCCCCAAGTCATTATGTCTATTTAAGACAGAGATAGATAGATTCTTGATTAGTAAGGGGATCAAGAGTTATGGGAAGAAGGCAGGAGAATGGGTTGAGAAACATATCAGCCAGGATGGAATGGCGGAGCAGGCTCAATGGGCTGACTGGCCTGATTATACTCCTATATGTGAAAAGGATCGAAAGTGTAGATGCTGAGGGATTGTTTCTGCTGGGCGGGGAGTCTAGAACACAGGGGGACACTTCTAGGATAAGGGCCTGATCATTTTGGGCTGAGATGAGGAGAAATTACTTCACTCAAAGCATTTTGACTCAGTGGAATTCTCCACCCAAAGGGTGATGATTCAAACATTGTCGAGCCAATCACTGGGAAGTACTGTAACCAATCCTCCCTTTAATAAACCTTTCAAAAATTAGATGCCTCCTGTTGGAACACCATAACAGAAACAAAATCAAACAGTCGATGGAAATATACAAGCCCCAATATCGTGTGCTCTTAACTTATTAAGTAGCCTTATACAGCCTTACCAAGTGCCTTTTGGAAATCCATTATATTGGATCCCCTTTATCTATCGTGCTTGTTATCTCCTCAACGAATCCCAATAAATTTGTTTGGCAAGATTTTTACTTTGTGCACCCATGCAGACTATGTTTGATTATATTATCTGCTTCTAAATGCTGTTATTATATCCATTATAGCAGACTCTTGTATTTTTCCAATGGCATATGTTAAGCTAACTGGCCCATAGTCACCTGTTTTATGTATTTCTCTCTTTTTGAATGAGGGTGTTTTACTGGCAGTTTACTAGCCCTCTGGGACTTTTTCCAAATCCAAGGATTCCTGGAAGATTACTCCCAGTGTATCCAATATTTCTGAAAATACCTCTTTAAAATCCTGGGATGTAACTCATCAGGTCCAGGGGATTTATTGACCTTTAGCCCCATTAGTTTCACCAGTACATTCTCTCATGTGATAGTTATTGTGTTTAAATCTTTCCCCCTAACCCACTTTAGCCGCTTGATTATTTAATATTTTTGGAATTCTATTTATGTCCTCTACATTTTACATTTGCCATGGCCCATTCCCACCCAACAGCATAAAATATGGAAGCAAAATTTGGCCATTTCGCCTGTTGAATCTGCTCCACCATTCAAGTATGGTTAATATGTTTCTCAACCCTATTGTCCTGTCTTTTCCCTTAACCCTTGATCCCACTACAAATCAAAAACCTATCTACCTCTTTCTTAAATATCCTCAATGACTTGGCCTCCACAGCCTTCTGTGGTAATGAGTTCCACAGATTCATCTCTCTCTGGCTTAAGAAATTCCTCATCTCAGTTCCAAAAGGTTGTCCCTTCACTCTGTTTTAAGAGCTAAAGGTTTCTACTATAAAGGAAGATCAAACAGATTAAACCTTCAGAGTTTCGAAGAATGCGAGGTGATATTATTGAAGCAAGAGATCTTGAGGGGACTATACAGAGTAGATATTGCAAAGGTGTTTCCTCTCGTGTGGTTAGAGTATAACTAGTGGGCACTGTTTAAGAGTAAGAGGTCTGCTTTTTAAGACCAAGATGAGGAGTTTTTTTTAATCAGCTCAGATGGCTATTGAAGTGTAGAATTCTCTTTTGTAGAAGGTAGTAGAAGCTGGGTCTTTAAATGTATTCAAGGCTGAATTAGATAGATTGAATTAGAATCCAGGGATTTGGGAGGCAGACAAGAAAGTGGAACTGAAACTACAACTAGGTCAGCCATAATCTAATTGAGTGGTGGCACAGGCTCAAAGGGCCATGCGACCTAATCTTGTGTCTGGGCCTCATGTGCATTGTGGATCTCAGTTACAGAGATAGCTGCCAGTTAGCTAGCTCTCTCCCTGCCCTTGGCAGGTGTCACCATTTGGCTAAGTGTATAATGTTGCTGCTGCTTATAGCTACTCACCCTGCAGCTCTTCTATGTATTCCTCACCTTCACTGTGCCTCACCAGCTACCTCTCTGTGAGCTGCATCATCCAACTGTGCCTGGGTTCACCTCACCTCACTCTCTGCTGCCCTCCACTTGGCTCTCTGGAAGAGACCTCTGTGCCTTTTCAGCTTGGAAACAGCTGATATACAGACAGTTCCTTTACTGGATGTCACATTTTAGATTTCTCTTTGCTCTTGAAATTGCAATCACCTCTTCATTTGTTTTATAGTCTATACATGGAAATATTCATATATATCTTAGTATCTACATTCTAAAGACCCTTATTTTCTTTTGCAGATCTTTACTTATTGTCCATATTTCTGAGGAAGGTGGCGAGAATGCAGCACCTTTTGAGATTTTTCCTCGTTTTAGCTTATTAATACATTTGACAAAATGACTTCCCTGACTACCTGTATCCTCCTCCTGGCTTCAGCATTGCATTAAGCATCCCTTGTTATTGTTTATCTGAAATTGACAAATTTGCTGATTTGCTCCAGAGTCATACCAGCCCCTTCAAACCACACTCTCGTTTCTTCTGATGTATTCCAAGTCACACAATATTGGCTCAGTGGCCATCTCTAGGATGCCAGCTCACCCTCATCCCACCACGCCCATTGTGGAATGACCTCCCATCCCACGCTCCAACATTACATAGGAGACACAATCCAGAAACAGCCCATTCGGCCCAACCAGGCGATGCTGGTGTTTATGATCTTCTTCCAACTGTCCTCATCCAAAATCCATCATCATAATCCCCTTGTCCCTTTCTCTTTCAAATGCTTATGGATCTGCCCTTTACACGCTACCTGCTGTGACCAGCCCCATTGTAGCAAGTTCCACATTTTCACTACTATTTGGCTGAAGAAGTATCTTCCAAATTCCCTACTGGATTTCTTGATGACCATCTTATATTGATAGTCTTTAGTTATATTCTTTTCATGAGGGGAAACATTCTCTCTGTATCCACTCTGTCAAAGCCTTTCACAATTTTAAAGATCTCTATCAGGTCTCCTCTTCAAGAGAAATGGGACCCAAGTCTGTCAATCCTTTCCAATTCTGGTATCATCCTTGAAAATCTAATCTATACCCTCTCCATTGCCTCTATACCCTTTATACAATGCAGTGATCACTAGGTGTGCTCTAATCATGGTTTAGTACAGATTTGGCACCTGCTCTCTATTTTCCAGTTCTGTCCCTTGAGAGCTTGATTTGCTTTTCTTTATGGACTTGCTCACCTGTGGTACAACAGTTAGAGTATGACGAATGCGTGCTTCACCCCAAACCAGTTGTGTTCAAGACCGCAGACTGCAAACCTGGGAAAAGCACTGAGAGTTCTCACCTGCTCTTCAAATGTAAACGCTTGGCTGATCTCCTTGGGAAACCCATCCACGATGAAGCCTTTTGCATCCTGGTGCTTCATAAACTGATGCTTTAGCTCCTCAATAGCTGTCTCCTGTTAGAAAAAAGGGAAGTTATATTTTAGTGTACTTGGCAGCTTTCTGGGTTGGGGGTGTGGGTGGATTGAGATGTAGAAATGGTTCTCACGCTTTGACTTCCAGCAGTTCCGACCCAGATTTCCCATACAAGGCAGCCTGTTCTGAAAGTTGGCTGATGCCAGATTTTCAATGAGAAATTCCCATCCAGTCATTCACGCTAAGATGGGTGGGTGCAGGGATGATGACATTTTAAAATGTAAACTACCAAAAGAGGACAGGATGTGATGCATCATCCCATGTGAGACACTAAGACCATTAAACATAGGAGCAGAGGTAGGCCATTCAGCCCATCAAGTCTGCTTCATGACTGATCGGATAACCCTCAACTCCACTTTCCTGCCGTTTTCCCATAACCCTTGGGATTCCCTGACTGATTAAAAATCTATCTATCTCAGCCTTGAATATATTTATTGCAAAACCTCTGCAGGAAATAATTCCAGATTCACTACCCTCTGAAAGTAAACATCCTCTCCTTTGCTGCCTTAAATGGTGACACCTTATTTTGAGATTGTGTCCTCTGTTGTAAGAGTAAAACAGCAGTCCCACAGACCAGATATCTTTGACATAGTCCTGGCCAGCGTTTAACCCTAAACCGACATCATTTGAAAACAGAGGAGTTGGTTATTATCTTGTTACTGTGTATAAATTGGTTATACTTCCCCGTGTTAAAATAGTAACCATTCTCCGAAACTACTTCAGTTGGCTGCAAGGCACTTTGGGACATTCTGAGATTATGAACAGTGCTGCAGGAATGCAAATATTTCCTTTTCTTTCTTTTATCCGCATTTTGAACTATCGTCTTTCGTGCGGAGGTGTTAAATTGACATTACTGTCATAAGCTCATCCTCAGGTCAATGATTAAACGATCACTATTGGAACAAATTCCCTTTCCTGTTGAAGTACTCAGTTTTATTTATAAAGATTTGGTTCAGATTGGTATTGGTTCGGGTTCCTTACTGGAGGTGCCAACTCCCCATTGGCAATGATCTGTGCGATGAGCTCCCACTTGCGGTCACTGGTGGCATGGTGCAGCATCTGTCGACGTAAGATCTCTCCCACTGAAATGGGCTCGAATCCATATTGCCTGGCCATCTTGGCCGTCTGTGTTCCCTTCCCACTCCCAGGACCACCTGCAGAGGGAGGCACAATTCGAAACAGCTTAGGAACAGTAAAAACCGAAAGAACTGCTTACGCTGTAAATCAGAAACAAAAACAGAAGTTGCTGGAAAAGCTCAGCAGGACTGGCAGCAGGATCACCAGACCCAAAATGTTAACTCTGATTTCTCCTCACAGATGCTGCCAGACCTGCTGAGCTTTTCCAGCAACTTCTGTTTTTGTTTCTAGCTTTCAAACAGTATCTGAAACAATGCAAACTAGTCAAGATGTGTCACACTGTGTTGCTAAAATGTTGGCGGGGGGACCGTGGGCAGGTTAGAGGGAAGTGGAAAAGATGGGGAAATGGAAAAGCAGAGAGAGTAGGGCCCAATATTACCACAATCCTGAAGGTGGAGTGTTCCAGGAATGGGACTCTGAACCATGAAGAATTGGTGATATATGTGGCACAGAGATATACTGGGAGCTGTTGTTGTCCCCAGGCATCTGTTAGTCTCATTTTCTACATTAAAGCAGTAATCTCAGCATGAAAGTACTTTAATGCTTCTAAAACACTTTGGGACATTTTGAGGTTGCAAAGAATGCTATATTAATGGAAGTTCCTCCTCTCACTTACTGCACAAACATAAATATAAATCAGGCACTGCCTTCTTCTTCAAACCTGACTCTGTGTTAGAGGTGCTCTCGAAAAATTCATTTCTTAAGTCAACACGACAAGTGAGAGGACTTTAGCAGGTTGAAAAGCAGAGGACAAAGTAGGTCAACAAGGGGATGTTAGCTGTCACCGAGCATGGGATTTAAGTGCCTGGAAATTGTACGAGGAGAGGGAGAGTGGGCGTCTGTTTCACTAAACTTCAATCTTTCGATTTTTAAATCTAACAACCACGTTCAGATCTATCCCATTTCCTTATCCTTCATTGACAATCTTTCTTGACGCTCTTGATCCACAAGCACTTCCATGCCTTGCTTAAGCATGAATCTAAGGGGGTGTTGTGGGAGGTCATGGTGGTGTGAGGGGGGGTGGCAGCTGGAGTGACCATTATCTGTGCATCAAGCTTTCAACTCCATGAGTAGAGAGAGGCGTGGGAAGAGAGGAGAGGAAGGGAAGAGGAAGAGAAGAGAAGAAGGGATGACGGGAGAGAAGAGAGGACAAAAGAAAAAGAGAAGAGGAGAAAAGAGGGACAGAAGAGGAAAAGAAGAACAGAAGAGAACATAGGAGAGAAGGAGAAAAGAGGGAAGAGGAAAGAACAGGCAAGGAGAGAAGGAAAAGGAGGGGAGAGCTAAGGAAAAGACTGGCCATCAGATTAGGAGAAATGCCGCACCCAAACTTGTGTCATTTTATTTCTGTGCACGTTTTCAGCAAAGCTCTGGTTTTAAGTTGTCCAGCTGGAGAGAAAAGTCAAGGCCCCTTTAATGCCCCATTCTCAAGGAAGTGTACAACCAGGTGAGGGACATCCATCCTGAGCCTTGTCTGTTCCTAATGGTGCTGTACGTGGAGTGAAGTTAAAATTGAGGTTCAAGTGTTGAAAGCTATAGAAAAGAAGTCCAACTGTATCAGGAGCTGAGTAAATAGCAAACTGAGTGAGTGTAAACGGGGGCCTACATAACCACATCTCACTGAGGACGCAGGATAGGGAATGAGGGCCAGGAGGCCTCAATCTAATATGAAACCGTTTACACTGTTGGAAGGTCCGCGAGGATTGATTAATTGATTAATTGATTGATTAACAGTTGTCACATGTACCAAGATTCAGTGAAAAGTGTTGTTTTGTGTGTATACAGGCAGATTGTGATCCTCTACGTAGGGATTGTCTTATGAACAAAGGCTAAATAGATTGGGACTCTACTCACTGGAGTTTAGAAGAATGTGAGGTGAACTAATTGGAACAAATAGGATTCTTAAGGGGCGTCATAGGGTAACTACTGAGAAAAAAAAACCAAAAGAGCTATGAATGCTGTAAATCAGAAACAAAAACAGAAATTGCTGGAAAAGCTCAGCAGGTCTGGCAGCATCTGCGAAGAGAAATCAGAGTTAACGTTTCAGGTCCAGTGACCCTTCCTCAGAACGCTGACAGGATGTTTCCCTTCATGGGAGGGTCGAGGACCAGAGGGCATAGCCCCAGAATAAAGGGGCACCAATTTAAGACTGAGTTGAGGAGAAATTTCTTCTCTCAGAGGGTTGTGAGTCTTTGGAACTCTTTGCCACAGAGATCTGAGGGGGCAGAGTCCCTGTGTGTATTTAAGGCTGCGATAGATTCTTGATCAGTCGGTGAATCAAGGGTTACAGGGAAAAGGCAGGAAAGTGGACGTGAGGAATACAGGATCAGCCATGATCCTATTGAATAGTGGAGCAGGCTCGGGGAGCTGAATCGCCTACTTTCTTATGGTCTTATTATAGCCTAACATGATGTGTCACTTTGACTGAGGTGCAGTCTAACTAATACCACATCCGTCTCCAAGGTGATCAGGCCTGCCTCTAATTGGTCGAGAGATGAAGCCTCTTATTTGGTTAGCTCTATGAAATCACATGACCACCCCTGGCTTTCCCTTCAACTGCCCACGGCTCAAGGCTCTTTTCATCTCGGTCTGTGTCATCCTGTTAGCCCACTCTCAACCCCACCCCGCCACAACATACCTCACTCCTTTCCCGTTTTGAGGGAGCGGAGTGCCTGGGACACTGACCTTTCACCAGGATTTCTGAAAAAAACTGTAGTAAAATGAAAAGCATTAAGAGTGGCTCGTGAATTATCCTTCCTGGTGGAGTGACAGCACAGAGCTACCAAGGGGTTTGACAGTCAGCTCACGTGACACTCCAAACCCTTTATCAACACCTGGGCACAACCAGCAGTTCCTCCAGGTCTGATATGATTCGACTGACTGTTGGCAAATGTAGCGACTTGTATTTATATAGCACCTTTAACAAAGTAAGACATCCCAAAGTGCATCTTAGGAGCATAATTATAATACAGAGAGGATTTGGCCCTGTCATGTATCACGATGACAACAGCATGTGAGACAGTGGTCTTTTAGACGCTCACAAATGGATGTCTATATAAATGAAAGGGTTTTCAATGAGTTAAAATACCACCCAAATGTTCTGCATTTGGCAGGCCACTAATTCATTTGATGAGTCCTACTTGAACAAACTTCACTGCACTGCACAGTTTTTGCAGTTCATCACATCTGGCGTGCTGGTGTGTCCAATTGTTTTTTTAAATATCAATGCTTTTCTTGTCACAGCAAGACACCCATCTTCAAGAAGCCTAAACAATCTTCCCTTGGCGGTGAGAGACTTTGTACCAGGTTTATCCCAGGCAGCAAGTGAGCTTTCATAGAACCCCTACAGTGTGGAAACAGGCCCTTCGGCCCAACAAGTCCACACCGAACCTCAGAGCATCCCACCCAGACCCATCCCCCTATAACCCACCTAATCTACACATCCCTGAACACTATGGGCAATTTAGCATGGCCAATCCACCTAGCCCGCACATCTTTGGACTGGGTTTTAGAGGTTACGGCCTAGTATTGTTGCTAGACTATTAATCCAGAGATCCAGATGATGTTCTAGGGACCTGGGTTCAAATCCTGCCATGGCAGATGGTGGAATTTTGAATTCAATAAAAATCTGGTATTAGGAGTCTAATGATGAGCGTGAAACCATTTCATTGTTGGGAAACCTATCTCACAAATGTCCTTTAAGGATGCAAACTGCTATTCTTTACCTGGTCTGGCCCAGACTCACTGCAAGGTGGTTAACTCTTGCCTGCCCAATTAGAGATGGCACTAAATGCCAAGCGAGCCAGTGACACCCACCCAAATAAAATTCCTCTACCACCTACTTTTCACTCAATGGAGGAAGGGAAATCCCTGTTCTCTAGGAATGGAAGTGGACACTTCACCTTCAACTAACAGAAATGAAAAAAAACCTGCATTTGTATAGTGCCTCTCCCACCCTCAAGTCTGCCCATTACAGTCAATGAAGTGTCTTTGAAGTCACTGGCATAATGTAGAGACACAGCAGACAATTTGTCGACGACAAGCTTTCAATAACAGTAATTCAATAAATTTAAATTATTCAAAGGCATTTTCTGAAATCTGCCAACCTCTTCCATCTATGAGGGAAGCAGATACCTTCACCTGAAAGTTCCCCTCCAATCCAAACACCATCCTGACTTGGAAATATATATTGCCATTCCCTCAGTGTCGCTGGGTCAAAATCCTGGAATTCCCTCCCTTGTAGACTTTACGTACTCTTACACCCCAAGGACTGCAAGTGTTTAAGACGGCTACTCACTACCATCTTCTCAAGGGTAATTAAGGATGTGTGATAAATGGTGGCCAGGCAGCAATGTGCACATCCTATGAATGAATGAAGAAAAGGATCAGAAAACATATTTTAGGTGTTGTATGAGGGATTAAATATTGAGCAGGAGACCCAGGGAGAGCTGTTCTGCTTTTACATCCACTTGAGAAATCAGACCAGCCTTCATTTAACATCTGATTTGAAGCATAGCACCTTCAACAATGCAGCACTCTGGAAGTATTACAGACCTAGCATTTTCACAGCTTGAATACACAAGGAAACACTGGGGTTGGGTGAAAAGGAAACTGGGGTAGGATCTGATTGAGGTGAGGTGAAGTGAAATCCTCAATGTCTGCCAGTTAGCACTGAAACAATTAACAGTATCCTGCACACAGCAGAGTTAACATAAGGCTGGCTATATCCGAGGCAGGACAGTTGAGGGAATAAAACATGGGGTTAATTAACATGGAATCAGACTTCATGGCAGGAGAGTTAATGAGCGAGAGAGTAACGTAGGAGACACTTACCAATGACAAAAATAATGCATGGCCTGGCCTTGGTTCGGTCAAACACATCATATTCTTGAATCAGCCCAGATGATTCTGTCATATCAGAGTCACTTTCAATTGAAAACTGAGCCTGGATTGGAGGCAGACGGTCATAGCGACGATAAGGAGCAACGCTTGGTTCTAACAGAAGAAAACATTGATTACTAACCTGCAGAAAACATCAAACGCGCTTCAGTTATTAAGTCTGGTTTTATTCCACTCATTTCTTTGGAACCCTTGGCATGATTCCAGGTGGATCAGATACAAATGGGAATAGAATTCTGGGCAATCAGGTCAAATATATAAACATAGTCTTCTCTCCATTTCCTCGCTACCTTGCTTGAAGGACAGTCTTAGAGATTTTACAACACGAGAAAAGGCCCTTTGGCCCATAAAGTCTGAGCCAGTCGTCAAACATCTGTCTATCCCAATCCCATTTTCAAGCACTTGGCCCATTGCCTTGTATGCTATGGAGTTCAAGTGCTCACCTAAATACTTCTTAACTGTCAGGTGAGTTCCTGCCCTGACCATCCTTTCATGCATGAGTTCCAGATACCTACTACCCTCTGGGGAAAACAACTTTTCCTCAAATTTCCTCTAAACCTTCTGCTCCCTACCTGTGTTCCCTGGTTACTGACCCCTCTACTAAGGCTAAACATTTCTCCATACGTACCTGTCTATGCCTCCATCAGATTTCCCTTCAATCTCCTCTGCTACAAGGAAAACACCTTCAGTCTATCTAGTTTCTCTTCATAGCTGATTGCATCCAGCCCAGGCTACATCCTGGTGAATCTCCTTTGCACCCTTTCCCAGTGAGCTGACTAGTTTGTACGTATGGTGTGAGGTGTTTTTTTGGAACATCCCTCATGTGACTATTATCCGTGTATAGAAGGCATAGAGTCATTAGGTGACAGAAGTAGACCATTCAGCCCACTGATTCCATGCAATCCAGTCAGTCCCATTTCCCTGATCTATCCCCAGTTTATTTCCCACACATGCCCAGCTGATTTCCCTTTGATCATCTCTGCTTCCACCACTGCCCTGGCCAGAATTAGAATCATTTTACAGCACAGAAGGTGACCAGTCAGGCCAAAGGGTTTATACCAGCTCCCCATAGAGTAATCCAGTCCATCCTACTCCCCTGCTCAATTTCCCAAACCCCTGTGGTGATATTTCCTTCCAGCGCCCACTAATTTCCTTTTGAAACCATTGATTTGCCCGCTTCCACCCTCCTCATGGGCAGTGAGGTCATTACCACCACACATCCTCCTCAAGCCCCCTCACATCCCCTCGTATCTCTGACCCAAAACTCTAAATCTCTGCCCCCAACCCATGCCCTACTATCAGTGAAAGGGAACAGCTTTCCTTTATTGATCTTATGGTGGAGGAGCAGTTAGCTCAGTTGGCTAGTTTGCAATGCAAAGGGATGCCAACAGCCCAGGTTCAGTTCCCCCACCAGCTGAGGTTACTCTCCTTCTCAACACCTCCCCTTGCCCGAGGTGGAGTGAGCCTTAGGACAAAGCACCACCAGTTGTCTCTCTCTCCCTCTCTCTAATAAGAGATCGGCCCATGGTCTAGTAAGGCTATGGTGACCTTAAAAACCTTGTAGAGAGTCATGAGGGGCTGAAACAGCGAGACAGATAATGGCATTGCTGGTTAGGCTAGCATTTATTGCCCATACCTAAGTACCCAGGAGGCAGTTAAGAGTCAACCACATTTCTGTGGGTCTGGAGTCACATGTAGGCCAGACCAGGTAAGGATGGCAGTTTCCTTCCCTAAAGGACATTAGTAAAACAAACAAGAGCAGGACTTATACAATTAATGGTAGGGCTCTGGGTGGCGTTGTCGAACAGAGAGACCTAGGGGTTCAGGCACATAGTTCTTTGAAAGTTTGCCTCACATTGACAGGATGGTTAAGAAGGTGTTTAGCACATTTGCCTTCATTGCTCAGACCATTGAGTATAGGAGTTGGGACGTCATGTTGAGGTTGTACAGGACGTTAGTGTGGCCACTTTTCAAGTACTGTGTCCAGTTCTGGTTGCCCCGCTCTTGGAAGAATATTATTAAGCTGGAGATTGTTCAGAAAAGATTTACCAGGATGTTGTTGAGATTGGATGGTTTAAGTTATAAGGAGAGGATGGATAGACTTTGTTCACTGGAGCGTAGGAGGTTCAGGGGTGACCTTATAGAGGTTTATAAAATCATGAGGGACATAGATAAGGTGAATAGCAAAGGTCTTTTCCCTAGAGTAGTGGAGTTCAAAACTAGGGGGCATATTTTTAAGGTGAGAGAAGAAAGATTTAAAAGGGACCTGAAGGGCAACTTTTTCACACAGAGGATGGTTCATATGCGGAATGTGCTGCCAGAGGTGTTTTTTTTAAAATTCATTCACAAGATAAGGGTGTCACTGGCCAGGCAGCATTTATTTCCCATCCCTAATTGCCCAGAGGGCAGTTTTGAGTCAACCACATTGCTGTGGGTCTGGAGTCACATGTAGGCCAGAACAGGTAAGGATGGCAGATTTCCTTCTTTAAAGTACATTAGTGAGCCAGATTGGCTTTTCCCAGCAGTCGGCAATGAATTTATGGTCGTCATTAAAGACTCTTAATTCCAGTCATTTACTGAATTCAAATTCCACTATCTGCCATGGTGGGATTTGAACCCAGGTCTCCTGAACATTACCTGGGGTCTCTGGATTAATAGTTCAGCAATAACACCACTCAGCCATTGCCTCCCCACTCCCCCACACTCCCCACCCCAGGTGGTAGATGCAGGTACAATTATAACATTTAAAGGACAGTTGGATAGGTACATGAATAGAAATGATTTAGGGGGATATGGGCTAAACGCAGGCAGGTGGGACTAGTTTAGTTTGGGAAACTTGGTCAGCATGGACATGTTGAACCATAGGGTCTGTTTCCGTGCTATATGACTCTGTGACCTGTATCAAGTCTCCCCTTAACTTCCTTTACTCCAGGGCAGTCAGCCTGGATTGCCTCGATGAGGAAATGACTTTCCTATTGCTCAGGCCAAAGGCAGTGGGGCTGATTTGTCGCAGCTATAGAGCAGGCTGCCAAGACCAACCCATTCAACACAGACTCGAGGTGAAGCCCTGAATGAAATGATGCACAAACTCAGCCCCAGCTTCTGCAGATCAGCATTGTATTGTAAAGTGGACAGCAACGTGCAGCAAGGGGATTTTGGCCATTAGCCATAAGAACCAAGATAATACCAGGCTGGGCAGGGAGATGATGCAGTCCTTAGCAAGCCTGGCCCAAACAGAAACTGGCAGCGGCCTGAAACTAATCTCTATCTCAAGCTGTAAGCTTCTGATTGTGAATACAAAATGTAAGCTGTTCCGGAAAAAGCACAGTATTATCAGTTGACAAACAGTAATCGGTTTGAGACAGACTCTTAATTCATCTCTGAAAGCTACAGCTAGGAACACGAGTGATTTAAAAGGAAGTTAATTGTTTAATTGTGAGGTCAACTCTGTCCAATATTTTTGTTATGGCCACTCCTCTACAGAACAATTATCCAGCCTGCTCTTTATATAAGCCGCTTATCCAGCCAGTGGCTCACGGTTACTATCTTAACCTCCGAATCTAGAGGGCTTAAGAAATTTTATTTTAACATTTTATGTCCAGGGACACCCAAACAAATAATATGTCTCTGTTGAAAAGATTATCTTCTAGCTTTAGCAATATTTAACCCTGATCAGTAAAGCCAACTAGTCTGTATTCACAATGAGAAGCCGTCCCCACTCCCGTTTTTAATCATTGGTCTTATAAAAGAGGTCCGATGCTAAAGTCAGTCTGTGTTCAATTGTCAGCCTGGATTGTAGCTTCAACAAGAGTCATAGCTTAAGGATATGTGGAAGGCCATTTAAGACTAAGATGAGGGGAAATGTCTTCACCCAGAGAGTGGTGAGCCTCTGGAACTGACTGGCCCAGAAAGCAGTTGAGGCAAAAACATTGAATGTTGTCAAAAAGGAGATAGGTATAATTCATAGGGTTAAAGGGATCAAAGGATATGGGGAGAAAGCAGGAATAGGGCACAGAGTTGGGCAATCAGCTATGATCATATTGAATGGTGCAGCAGGCTCAAAGGGCCGATTGGCCTAATTTTCTACATTTTGAACCACCTGACCCAGGAGTGAGGCAGCTCCAAATGAAGCAAGGCTGCTGACAACCAGGGCAAGCTTCCTGGCTTTGTGTCTACACTAAACTCTGTGAGCATCCACACAGGCTCAGAGGGAGTGAGCGAACACTCAGAGTAAACAGACAGCCTAGAGGAACAGCCTAGTGCAGCCCATGAGCTGGGTGTGTGTCCCTAATCACTCAGAATCCTTGCTGCATCATTGCGTTGATAGTCAACACGGCAACCCGAGGTGCAGCAATGAAACGCAGCAGCACCCTCTCAGCGGCTTAAGGGTTCTTAGAGCTCGGCACATATTGGATGCCAATATCAGTGGCACTGGGATTCATGTGGCCAATGCCCACTGAGATGTCTGTGCCTGGTTTCCAACATGGTGGCTGTTTGGAGCCAGCAGAGAGCTGAATTCCTCCCCCACAGTGCTCACATTGGCTTCCTTGTCAGGTTTTCTTGATGGCCAGCTTGTTTGATGGGTTTGCTAAGACGGGAGATTGAATATTAATGTGCTGAGTCGTAATGTTACCTTCTAAATGACAAGTGTTCACACCAATCAAGTAGCACCTCACGAGAATCTCACCACTCCACTTGTGTGCCTAATGGTGAGATAGGCCTCGCCGGATTCTCGTCCAATTAAGCCCCCAATCTGAGCACTGCCCACTTTGCTCTGATCCCAAGAAGGTTCTGCCTTGTGTGAGGACACAGGAGCAAGAGAAGGTCCTTTGGCCCTTAGGCTTGTTCCACAGTTTGATAAGGTCATTGCTGGTCTAGTGACTCCTGCACACATGTTGAGACTGCAATGCGAGGAGAACGATAAGGATTTTGTCAAGCCTGGCTAAACTTCCAGGACGAGGCCAGAAGCTGAGAGATAGCACGTAAACCCCTACAGGCTACAGTCCCACACAAGCCCTGAACTGGATGGCAGCACTGGCAGTTTCAAACCAGATGGTTGTGGGTTCAGAGCCAGGATGCCAACTTCAGAGGGATGCACTCCTGGAAGCTAGATCACACGGATCCCTGCTTACAACAGCCCCCACCTGGTCAAATGTCCTTTTGCCTCATCAGCAATTACTTCTACATCCTCCATAAACTCTCTCCACATCATGCAGATCAATCATCAGTTGCTGGGTCCTCCAGGACAATCCTGGGGAGTTGGCAACCCTAACTTCCTGACAGGAGGGACCTGAACACATGAGCCGAAGGAGTGCCGCACTATCGGAGGTGCCATCGAGCAAGGTCCCGGTTTACTTTGTCAGGACTGGGTAAATAAATGATCACATGGTGACATTTATCCCTGAACCAAAACGTAAAGGCAGGTTTTCTGCTCATTTTGAATTTGCCGCCTGCGGGATCGTACTCTGCACAAATGGCTTGTCACATTTCCAATGTTGCAGGGACACAATTCCTTCAGCAAACCACCTTTTCAAAGGAATGTGTGTAGTGCACAATCACGCGGCTAGTTTCCTCTCTGTGATTACAGGGCGTGCAGCCGGGTAACAGACCAAGAGAGAGGATGCACAGTCTATTTTAAACTTGGGTCGTTTAAATTCTCCACTATTTCGAGCTGGTTTCTTGAACCACCGAGCAGTTGTTTCCAGCTGACACTGGGTATTGACCACATCAAAAACACCGCATCCAAGATTAAGCAAAGGACCTCACCCAAGGCAATCTGCACCTGGCCACTCATCCTGTGTGTACATCCAAACAGATGGCATCACAGATACAGTTAAACCCCACTTCTCCTTCCAAAGCTCCTTCCTGTTTTCTGTAAGCAGTCACATTTCACATCGAGTTCATCAAGGCACATTTGCAGGTCGGGATTTAACCAGGCAAAAGCAACGCCGAGGGGCGATTGATGCCAGAGGAGGCAACATTTAGAGAAAGCCCCCTCTGGAGGGGGCAATGTCTGCGGACTCTACCCTTGAGGTCAACAGAAGGGCTGGCACCTCTGGGGAGCAACAGGCTTTAGCGTAAAGTAACATCTGGCACAACATCAATGCCTTTTTCTTCCTGCAGTTTATCAGCTTAAGCTTCTCCAGTCGAGCTGTTCTAGCGTCTCCAGGTGACATCCTGTCACCAATTCAGGTGGCGATTCTTAAAGTGCTAGTCCAGGCAGGGAATGTCAATGAGCTATTTGAATATGGGAGGCATCACAGCCAAATCAAGTCCCATCCTCACCCAAACTCCTGGGCAAGTGGACTTTCTGGCATGGGCACTGGATCAGGGGCTAATGCTGCATCTGAGACCCTCCCCTCCTCCTCAAATCTGTTCCTGGTAGAGACCAGTTCATTCAAAATTCCTGACATCATTCCCGCCTTATACGGTTCACTGCTGGGTACTGTCTTACCATTAAACCAATGAAGGGGGCTCAGTGTGGAAGGGAGCCCTGTGTTTCAGAGCTGTGCAGGTAAAGAGAGACACATATTAACCGTACTGGGCTCCGTGTGTAGCCTTGCCATCAGGAGGTTTCGAGGGGATGTGAGGAAACATTCTCTCACCCAGAGGCTGGTGGGAATCTGGAATTCACTGCCTGTAAAAGTGGGAGAGGCAGAAATCCTCACCACATTGAAGAAGTATTTAGATGTACATTTGCAATAGCCTGGCATACAAGGCTAGGGGCCAAGTGCTGGAAAATAGGGTTAGAATAGTTAGGTTGGTGTTTTTGGCCAGTGTTGAGACTGGTCAAATGGGCCAAAGGGCCTATTTTTGTGCTGTGTACCTCTATTATTCCATCCCAATCCATCCCCACCTTTCAAGTCTAATGGGCCAAAGGCTTACCAGAATCTGGCATGGTATATGAAAGTATTGACTCGACTTTGATCACTCATTCACCTGATCGGAATACTGGCTTCTTCCCTTGCCCACCGTTAATTGGGGGCAATAGCTGACGCTCCTGGGTAATAAACGTGTCCCACTTCACTTTCTCCAGTCCTCCCAGCTCTCGAACTCTCTGCAAACATCCCTCAAGGTACTCAATCGGGTCATCAGGCCGATAGTACATCAGCCCCGTCAACATGCTCTGCACAAGAGAAAAGGAAAGTCGATTATCTCACCATCTTCGACTGAAAGCTAAATTCACAAAGTAAAAGGCCGACTTATTTCGATTTACGACCACCTCAAGTCTCTCTGCCCACCCCCACTCCACCTCTGTCTCAGTCTGTTCAACAGCTTCGTGTATTAAAATGTCAAAGACCTTAACCTCAGGACTTTACAGGCAGACAGGCCATTGATTATCCAGGGTTGCTATATTTTACGATGTTAGCACAGACGGAGGACACTCGGCCCCTTCTGTTTCGGACATCCTTTCCAAAGAGCTAACTAATTAATCCACCTCTCCTGCTCTTTCCCGATTTCTCTGTAACATTTTCTCTGCCCATTTCCTTTTGTAAATTATTTTTGAAATTGTTGCTATCATCCTTTGATGCCCAGGTCACATTGAATTGTCCTCCCTCAGCTCAGCACTGCCTCTACTGCCTATTTGTGAATGATTCACTTTTAGAGAGCTATTCAAAGCTTCCTCCAAAGGCCAAATTGCCTAATGTAGGAGAATCCAGGTTTAACGCCATCTTTACTGAGAAATAGCTTGCATTTCTCTAGCACCTTTCACATCCCAACCCACGTTTATAGGTGATGAAGAGAGAAGCAGAGTTAACCTTTTGAGTCCAAACGTTTCAGTTCTGAAGTGTCTTACTCGAAAGATTAACTTGGATTCTCTCTCCGCAGATAATGTCAGAGTTTCTCCAACACTTTCTGTTTTTGTTTCCAAATGCCAGCATCTGTAATATTTTTAAAACCAGCAAATTACTTCCGAAGTGTGGTCGCTGGTGTAAGGTAGAAAACGTGCTTGCCACTTCATGCGCCGCACGCTCCCACCAACAGCAATGTGAGAATGACCAGATAATGTGTTATATGACGCTGAGTGAGGGATAAATATTTGCCAGGACACCAAGGATAATGCTCCTGATTTGCTCTTCAAAATGCATCCGTCTGAGAGAGCAGTCAGAACCTGTCAGCTTAGCATCTGATCTGAAAGACAGCAACTTTGACAGTTCTGCACTCTGTCAGTACAACACTGGAGTGTCAGCTAAGAGTTTCATGTTTACCTCATTTACAACGTTCTGACTAAATGTGAAAACCATTGTTTTCAGTCACAATCTCAAACTCCATTCCCTAGGCACAGACTCTATTTCGCTGTCTGCCTCTGGCAACCACAGACGTTGTTGGAGGCCTTGGAGTTAGAGCTGATCCCTAGATGAACCTCCAACCTCAAATTTGTGCCCTCACTAACCAAGTCTATTTCCACCTCTGTTGCTTTACCTGATGTCACTCCATCCCAGCTGGTCAGCAGGTGCCAACTTCAACTAAATTCCCACTTAGGCTTCACCACCGTAGCTCACTGGCCTACACTGACATCCAGTTTAGCAATGCCTGGATTTTAAATCATGCATTCTGAATTTCAAATCCTTCCACAGCCTCATCCCTGCTAACTCCATAATTCCTCCAGACCCTCAACACTCCGAGATATCTGTGTTCCTCTAATTCTGGCCTCACCCAACTCTCAAAGGGTAGTGATTCTGTGGAATTCTTTATCGCAGAGGGCTGTCAAGGCTGGGTCATTAAGTGTATTCAAGGCTGAGATAGATTTTTAATCAGTAAGGGGAATCAAGGGTTACGGGGAAAAGGCAGGAAAGTGGAGTCGAGGATTATCAGATCAGTCACGATTTCATTGATTTGGGGGAGCGGACTCGATGGGCTGAATGGCCTACTTTCTGCTCTGATGCCTTATGGTCTTCATTCATTCCACCACTGGAGGCCATATCTTCAGTTGCCAAGGCTCTGAACTCTAGAATCTCCTCCTTAAACCTCTCCACCCTTCTTTCTTTGTGACATTCCTTAAATTCTGTGGGCAGGGGGCGATTTTCCTGGGTATTTTAGTCACTCTGAGGTGGCTATGATGGGGCTATTACTCTAACAACATCAGTTTAGCCCACGTTTCACACTTGGTGCTATCTCAGCGAAGAAGACGTAGCTTGGGCTAAGACCGGTTCATGGGACAATCACTGAGGTACTGGTTACTGTTTAAATTGTCCCCTCACAAGGGAGGCTACACACTTAGAAAACAAGGTGTAGAGCTGGATGAACACAGCAGGCCAAGCAGCATCAGAGGAGCAAGAAGGCTGATGTTTCGGGCCTAGACCCTTCTTCAAAAATGGGCCAAATTGGGAAGGCCTGAATGTGGACTGTAGTCCATTGGGGATGATCTGGTTTCGTAGGCAGGTACTAAGAAAGGTGATGTGGCTGTAGTACCTGGTTTGCTTCAGGACGTGGTCGAGCAGTTTCAAGGCCGAAGAGATTACAATAGGGTTGCAGTGGGAAAGAGATCCACTGAGATTTTTCCGGAGGGAGGAGGGTAACTTCTTCAGGGTAGGCATCCTTAAAAGAGGCTTCGCAGTGGTGTTAAAATTGTTTCAGAGATAGTAGGAACTGCAGATGCTGGAGAATCTGAGATAACAAGGTGTAGAGCTGGATGAACACAGCAGGCCAAGCGGCATCAGAGGAGCAAGAAGGCTAACGTTTCGGGCCTAGACCCTTCCAGGCTACACACTTAGCTTGTTATGCAATGGCCTCTCCTCACAGGGGTCAGGTGACTGGGAACAAGCAAGTTGCCATCAAGGATTTTTGAGTGTTGTTTTAATGTTATATCACCAGTTACTATTCATCTGCTCAGAGGGGATTGAAATACTTTTGAAATACATTGTGCGCAGCCTGGAATCCACATTGCAGGTGATTGTACTGGAGACGGTGCAGGAGATTTAACAGGATGGTTTCCTGGGCTAGAGCGTTTCAGTTAAGAAGAGAGATTGGACAGACTGGAAACAAAAACAGAAATTGCTGGAAAAGCTCAGCAGGTCTGGCAGCATCTGTGAAGAGAAATCAGAGTTAACGTTTTGGGTCAGTGACCTGCCGTCATAATTTGGTGGCTCTGGGTCACAGAAATGTGTGCTGACTCTCCGCTGGCCTAAGTAAGCCACTCAGTTCATAGGCTAACTGACCAATGGGTGGCCTAGACCTATGACCTATGAATTTAAAAAAATTATAGCTGTCACTTGGTCAGGCTGAGGGAACCCTGCCACCCCCACCATGAAATCAGCTGATTGTGTCAGGCAAGGAATCAGTGACTACTGAGAGTCCTGGACTGTGCGTGCCAAATGGTTTTGTACTTGGCTGTAGATTGGAGGACCACACTCTCATGTGAAGCAGCAGATGAAGGAAAACCTTTTCACTTTGCAGCCACATGCCCCAGTGCAATGCTAAGCTAAATCTTGCTCTTACAGTGAGGGGGATCAGCACAACAGCAAGACCCTGATCGTAGCTTATCTCTCACATGTGACCGAGACAGTTTTATCTGACTTAGCTGTCTGCTGCAGGGGAGATCCACTGAGGAAGCCCTGGTCAGTGACACCCTTCCCCATCCACTCTTCTATCCTGTACTAATTACAGAAAAAATAAACACTTGGCCAACTTATAGCTTTGGGAAGATTGCATTGCTGTGCAAGTACCTCCACAAGCACTTCCTATGCCTGTCATTCCTGTCTTCCATCTTGGTGTTTCCTCATGACACACCTAGTTGGATGAGGAGTGCTGGTTGAGTGGAGGATAGGAACCAGCATGTTCCCAATGCTCTTTACCAAGACCCACCTTGACTTGAACGTTCAAAGACTACAGAGAGCTAAAGGATGGTCCAAGGAACTGCCTTGAATGGTGCTCAGCCTCTGTTCAATCCTTTTGTTTACACACCACGCTAGGACTGAGAAACCTCTGTGTAAAAGGTCTGCTATAATCCTACATGAAGCTAGTGTTTACAGTTTTGTTATTCCTTGTCCTTAGAGGACACCTCCTCCCAATGTGTGGGAACTCCTGGTTGGAGAAAGCAAGTAAATGAGACACTGAACACACTGCTGCACGTAAAGCAGGATTTCGGTTAGCTCAGTTGGCTGGAGAGGTTGTGACACAGTGTGGGTTTAATTCCCACTTTGACTGAGGTTACCAAATAAGGACTCTGTTTCCCAGTCACTCCCCTTGCTTGTGGTGTGGTGGCCCTCAGGTTAAACCACCACCAGTCATCTCTCTCTCTCTCTCTAATGAGAAAGCAGTTGTATGCCCTGGCAGAGCTATGGTGATTTTATCTTTAGTCCCATGATTTTCTATGGTTCCCAATCCAATAGCCAGCTGTAGTGGTTGAAATTACACCAAACTCCAGTAATTTACAAATTGTACTTGTCTCAGGCAACTGTGAGTATGAATGGGGTGTGCAGTGCAAATAATGCACTGACAGACCAGCATTGCCTCTAATGGAAGCTTCCTATAATCCCTGAAGTGTGCAATGGTGTATCAGTTTGAATACAAAAACTGAGAGCCTTTCTCCCAACACTTGTAAGTTGTCTACCAATATTCCGATGGGGAAACTGTTTAGATCTAAATTAAAGTCAGACAGTGTGTAAGCAGTAATTTGAAAGTCAGCAGAGAGCAGACGGATGCTGCGATATTGTCTAGCAACTGAATGAATCAATCAATTCATGTTAAATTGTTAAGAACCCTTACATAAAGAAATGAAAAACACAACAGGCTGTGGATGTGATTAAAAGTCCAACTGTGGGCTATTCAAAGAAGAGGAGAGACAGGAAGTGAAGATTCCATCCATGTTTTCCTATGACCATTGTACCAGTGCCAACTGGAACCAAACAAATCCTCACAAATATTTCAGGAGGTTGAAATCAAACGGAGCTGGAAGTGATGGTTCCTGTTGGGGTGTGGGATGGCGAGTGCATGGCCCACATACTCCTGCTGTCTCACCAAGGCGAGTCAAGTGTTGCACCCATGGGTGGGGGTCCTGTCCCGCTTTGGTGTCTGGGACGTGTTGGGAGAGGGCTGAGGTTCGTGAGTCAGAAGTTGGTCATAACTAGCCCCTGGTTCTTTCCTTAGTGGATACGTCAATCTCAAACAGAACGGTCCGCTCCC